TTGAGGTCACTAGGTCAAAGGTCAAGGTCACAGGGGCCTTGACTTCAAAAAGCTTGTCCGCCCAATAACTTAAGATTCCTTTGACCTACAGTCTTTATATTTGGCATGGAGGTTAGTCATGATTAGTAGATGACTCCTATTGATTTTGAGGTCACCAGGTTAAAGGTCAAGGTCACAGGGTCTTTGACTTCAAAAAGCTTGTCCGCCCAATAACTTAAGATTCCATTGACCTACAGTCGTCATATTTGGCATGGAGGTTAGTCATGATTAGTAGACGACCCCTATTGATTTTGAGGTCACCAGGTCAAAGGTCAAGGTCACAGGGGCCTTGACTTCAAAAAGCTTGTCCGCCCTATAACTTAAGATTCCTTTGACCCACAGTCTTCATGTTTGGCATGGAGGTTAGTCATGATATGTAGATGACCCCTATTGATTTTGAGGTCACCAGGTCAAAGGTCAAGGTCACAGGGACTTTGACTTCAAAAAGTTTGTCTGCCCAATAACTTTAGATTCCTTTGACCCACAGTCTTCATATTTGGCATGGATGTTGATTATGATAAGTAGATGACCCCTTGTGATTTTGAGGTCACTGGATCAAAGGTCAAGGTCATAGGGACTTTGACTTCAAAAAGTTTGTCTGCCCAATAACTTTAGATTCCTTTGACCCACAGTCTTCATATTTGGCATGGATGTTGATTATGACTATAAGGTGACCCCTATTGACTTTGAGGTCACTGGGTCAAAGGTCAAGGTCACAGGGACCTTGACAAAAAAAGCTTTTCTTCTCAATTGCTAAAGAATGTCCTGTCCGCAATGTATTGATTTTGACATTTTCACATTTGAAGCTTGTAGAATACATAACTTAACAATGCACTGGCTTAGTAACCTCTGATTTGGCAGGGAGGTTGTCCTTGAGCTCTAAATGGCCACTGTTGATTCTGACAAAGTGGTATGCGGGGGTATTCACGCCAAGGTAGTGGCAGTTCTAGTTCAAAGCAATTATTTTATTTTAATCTGTTGTGGGTTTTATTTGTATAATAAATATATATAATAATGCTTTAAATTTTGATCTTGAAGTTATCTCTATTTGGAAATTATTTTTATGCAATAATAATAATAATAAATAAACTATTTTCCACTGGATTATATATACTTGAAGCACAGGTTGTGTTTAAATTGTGTAAATTTTCTTGGATTTTTTATACGCCCGTTTGAAAAAACGGGACGTATTATGGGAACGCCCCTGGCAGGCGGCGGCGGGCGGCGGCGGGCGGCGTCAATTTTGTCCCGAGCATATCTCCTACATGTATGGAGGGATTTTAATGAAACTTCATATAAATGTTCACCACTATGAGGAGCAGTGTTGCGCACATGAACCAGGTCTCTAGGTCAAAGGTCAAGTCACACTTAGAGCTCATTGAAAAATGCTTGTCCGGAGCAAAACTTCCACATGTATAGAGGGATTTCAATATTACTTGGCACAAATGTTCACCATTGTGAGGCGGAGTGTCGTGTGCAAGATTCAGGTCCTTGCGGCCAAGGTCAAGGTCACACTTAGAGGTCAAAGTTCAGATAAAAATATGAAGATGTGTATATGGACCATTTAGTCATCATTTATGAGGGATTGTAACACAAATGGTCATTATCAAGACTATGGCTGTGATACATATAATTTAGGTCAATATATACAAGGTCAAGTCACTAAAGATGATGAAATATCCAGATTTTGTAAAATAGAATTTAATCAAAGGGAGACAACAAAGTTATTACTTTGTTCATAAATGACTTACACAATTACTCCCCTTGATCTATTTTCTAAAATAGAATTTAATCAAAGGGCATGAAATAATCCTCTTTCTTGGACTTGAGTATGTTGTAAAGAATGTAACATTTATTTACACATGTTTCATTCATTGGTCAAGATACTTAACTGTGATAACTATGGTGTTCTGTAGACTTGGTATTTGTTCATAAAGATCATACAGTAATTACTTATCAAATGTAAATACTTTCTCATAGAAATTTAATTATATTTTTTAATTAAAAATAGAATTTAATCAAAGGGCATGAAATAAATCCTCTTTCTTGGACTTGAGTATGTTGTAAAGAATGTAAACATTTATTTACACATGTTTCATTCATTGGTCAAGATACTTAACTGTGATAACTATGGTGTTCTGTAGACTTGGTATTTGTTCATAAAGATCATACAGTAATTACCTTATCAAATGTAAATACTTTCTCATAGAAATTTAATTATATTTTAATTTTTCAAGTAAATATCAGTTCAGCTCATTCAAAGATTAAGAATTGTAATGAAATGTATTTCCCTAGAATAAAATCTTAAATCAGAATTGTTTAGTTATTAAATTACATGTACTTTTTATACGCCCGTTTAAAAAAAGATAAAAATATGAAGATGTGTATAGGGACGATTTAATCATCATTTATTGAGGGATTGTAACACAAATGGTCATTATAATGACTACGGCTGTGACACATGTACTTTAGGTCAATATATGCAAGATCAAGGGTCACTAAAGATGGTGAAATATCCAGATTTTGTCTGGAGCATATCTCCTACATGTATGGAAGAATTTTTATAATACTTTATGGAAATGCTCACCACCATGATATGTATTGCTCCATGCATGATCCAGGTCTCCAGGTCAAAGGTCAAGGTCACACTTAGAGCTCATTGAAAAACGCTTGTCCGGAGCAAAACTTTCTACATTCATAGGGGGTTTTCAATATAACTTGGCACAAATGTTTTTCATTGTGAGGCTGAGTGTCGCATGCAAAATTCAGATCCCTGTGACCAAAGTCAAGGTTACACATAGAGGTCAAAGTTCAGATAAAAATTTGAAGATGGTTATAGGACCATTTAGTCATCATTTATTGATGGATTGTAGCACAAATGGTAACTATCATGACTACAGGTGTTACACATTTAATTTAGGTTAATATTTGCAAGGTCAAGGTCACTGGAGATGATTAAATATCCAGATGTTGTCCGGAGCATATTTTCTTACATGCATGGAGGAATTTTAATGTTACTTTTATAGAATTGTTCACCACCATGAGACGTAGTGCCCTGCACATAAATCAAGTCTCTAGGTCAAAGGTGAAGGTCACAGTTAGAGCTCATAGAAAAACACTTGTCTGGAGCAAAACTTCTACATGCATAGAGGGATTTCAATATAATTTGGCACAAATGTTCATCATTGTGAGGCTGAGTGCCGTGCATAGAATTCAGGTCCCTGCGACCAAGGTCAAGGTCACACATTCTGTGCATATCTTCCCTACTGATTTGTTTTAAGGTTCATTTAACAACACAGTGCCAAGAATAAAAACTTGCTTGCTAGATAACACTTATCCATAATGCCCCCATCTCCATCTAAAGCTTTTTCGTAAACGGGCGTATTTTGTGACTATGGCACCCTTGTTATAAATTGATATTGTTTTCTATTTCACTTTAAAAAGAGGAGTGGGGGGGCATTTATTAGAAAATATATGTTATAATAAATCTTGCGAAAATGCTTAGCAACATGTACATGGTGACACTAGAGGCTTGATGATTTAACATAACTCTATTAGTTTTAATTGCTTGAAAAAAATATGGGAAATTTGTTTTACATTGATTAATTTAGTCAAACATGTATTAAGTGCACAAGGGAAACACCAAAAATGGTCGCTGAACGGAACGGTCTCATGACCCTTTACTTCATGAGCATATTGCGAAAAATGGCGGTTTTCATTGAAAAGCCTCCTGTTACAAGTTCAAACTGTTATGAAACTATGAAAAATGCTTCAATACTGATGAAACTTGGCACAAATGTTGACTTGATCATAGCCTCTGTAACAGCATCGTAGATTTTCTATTACCATGGCAATGGGGGGACGTCTCAACATTGCCAAAAATTACCATTTTGCATTGTTTTCTTCCATCAAAACTGATTTCAAAGTGCTGCAACTTGTAAATGGATTGAGATAGAGTCCAAGGCTATTCAGTGTTGGTACGATAGACCTGAGGCCAATTTTAGCCTGTAATTTGAGGCATCAAAAAAGGGGGGTAGCCATCAAAATATGTCTATATGAGGTAAAGGGTTAAGACGAAGCGTGAGAAAATTTCCTCAGCGGTGGGGAAGTTTTTTCAACTTCATTTATATAAATGTTTATTCATTATAAACGCTCTGATTATCTCAATTCTATGATGCTCAAATAAAACAAATAACTTTTTGATAATTATTGGCAAAACAGTTTTGATCCATTATGTGCATATTTGACATTTTCCCAGAATTTTCAAGCTACTGTACTACAATGCTTTTCCTTGTCCCCACAGGTAAAATCTAATTTGTTTTTGTGTAGATGTTTTCTGTTGTGCATTTTTTCATTTGAAATAAACAAACTACATCTTATTGTAACGATTAATTTAATGGCTGATCAAGTTCAAGGTCAATTCAATGCAATTTAAATATCAACAGAGAAAGGAATAGACAATCTTAATAGGGGCAGAGTGTGGCATTGTTCTAAGATTTTATTGGATAATACACATCACAGGTATAATTCACTTCATTACATACGCTAAAAACAATTTGGAAAATAGAGTTTGTCACACATTTATACAATTGTGATTGTTAACAGTTGTGAAATTACGGTTTTCTCTAACCGCCTCCATGGTCGAGGGGTTAGAGTCGATGACTTCTAATCCAGTTACCTCTCTGGTGTGGGTTTGATCCCCGGGAGATGCTTTGGTAGTTTAGCGCGGAGGAAGGTAGTCTAGTACTGGTGTAACTCTCCAGGAACGATGGTTAGGAAACTACCCGCCTATATGACTGAAATACTGTTTGAAAAGGCGTAAAATGAAACAAACAAACAAACGGTTTTCTCTAAATACGTAAACACCAGACCACTTGATGAAAAGATTTTTGAATTAGCTAACTAACTAGCAGGGGGGGGGGGGGGGGGGTAATTACAGTGGGCACATAAGACAAAACAAGTTACACTGTATTTAAGTATATTGTAAAAACATTTAATTTACATTGTAAAAATCAAATCAATTGATCATGTCATAAAAAAATAATTTCACTACAACAAGATAAATTTATTTCACCATATACATGTATACCAGTTCAATTAATTGTTTCACTCTTCAACACAATCTAACAATATTTTTTTTCTCTCATGTAGGTATGTGTTGCTCTTATTTCAACTTGACACTGAAATAATCCAAATTGTTCCCTATTCATATTGTTGCCTATCCAAATTGTTCCCTATTCAAATTGTTGCCAATTTAAATTGTTCCCTATCCAAATTGTTCCCTATTTAGATTGTTCCCTATTACAGAAAACAACATTTGTGTGCACAATATAATCTTTTGTGAAACAGATGAAACGCTTGGTCTATATTGACATTAGGATGTAATTCTAAACAATCAGGAATGATAAGATTAAAAAGCATCAAATAATCAATAAATACCTGTGGATTGTTCACTAACCGAGCAGCAGAAGCGGCAAACGGATTTGAATAAACTGAAATACTAAAGTCCTCGTCTTTTTCTATATTCAATAAAAAATTTCTATGAAGTGACAAGTATTGTATTTCTACACAGTGTCGCCAGATACCATATTGAGCAAATAGGTTGGGCTGCATTGATGCATAGGTTATGCATGCTGCCAATTTTGGAATTCTGTAAATCACAAATGCACCTTCGTCAATTAAGGATGAAAGAAGTATTATCAGATCACGTTTTTCATGGCCAAATAACCTTCCAGCTATTAAATTTTTTTTTGGCAACATGTAACTTGGTAAGTGATTATTAATTAAGCACTGCTTTATGAAATTAAAGCTTTGTAAAAGTTGAGCAATGAAAAGGTCAGGTGTAAAATAATGGCTTGGGTAAATTTCTGCCATCCAAAGAACAACGTTTTTTACCATATATGACGAAAATGATTTGCTGACCGAAGAAAACACTAATTTTGAGAATAATTTTAGAATTATATATAGTTTGTCTTGAGTGCTATTAAATGCCATCAGTAATTTTTTCTCTGCAGTAACATGGGATATCCTCCATTCAAGATGTTCGGTTGCACTTTTTTTTTCACCTACAGGGATTATGTATCCTTCTGTAGTGGAAACCTCATGTATAAGTTCTTCTGAAGGCCAGTCGTTATATCTAGCTCTTGTAGACCAATCATTTAAAATGCTTGAGTTGTAAAAGTATATAGCAAGGACATTGTCAAATTCTTGTGTATACTCACAAGAATATGCATGAACTGTTGTCTGATTTGTTACGGAAGGGCCATTGTTTCTTACTGATGAGTTTTTTATAGTTATTCCAGCTGCGTCTGGTGGCTGATATAATTCTGCAAAATTTAAATAGTTTTCTGTAATTAATTTACTAGATATGAAAGGTGCTCCACCCGTTGATCCATACCAGTATGATTTTTGCAATAACATTGACTCCTTAGTTATGTCATTACTTCTATATTTATGTCTAACTCTAATATACCCAGGTGGTGTATTTTCATATTCAGCTACTAAAATGTCAAAATTGCATTTTGTTCCCAAATTGGCTTCATCAACACATATTGTATTGTTAAACACTTGCATCCTGTCCAGGTCACTACCACACCACATTGGTAAGACACCCTCTGATTTACTTCCAGTGAGGATTGTTTCAAAAGATTGGTCCATATTTCTTTTACTAGTATTTTTAAGCGCTTCTTCCATTTGTTTTGTACATTCAATTCTCTTTCTTTTTGTTTCATGATTTATTCCTGCCAGATCTATTACGGTGAAAACAAAGCTGGAAAACTTGCTGTTGGCCATTATACCTGACTATCTGTATTTTTACAAAAGAAAAAGTAACATGTGTTATAAATCTATCAGGGTGAAAAACAATGTTGTTAAGGTTGAAAATACAGACTGATGCACCAAATGAACTTTTTAACATAATCTAATGAATTTCTTGAATGAACTTCAACAACTTCAAATTTGACACAGTCAATCACCAGATTTTAGGGCTATCACAATGGAAATTTTGAAGTATAGAACCTGGACATACTGCAGACACATGTATGTTAGCCTAGAGGCTTCGCAGTTTCAACAGTGCAAAGGTTATTGATAGGGAATATTGCATGAATATGCTATTCTGATGATTATATCTTGTACTTTATGCAATCAACAAGACATATATGATCCATCATGATAATTTTCGTGTTCTGATTCTTTATGGATAAACAGTCTGGTCTGACTCTATAGTAATGACTAATAAGTCACATTTTGAGCAGTTTAAACAAACAAAACTAATGACTTACTACACCGCGTTCATTTATTTGAATGATTTAATACATTTTGGTGGCGCGGCAGAGTGGTTAATATGCCGCACCAGTAATCAAATGATTGCTGGTCACTTGGGTTCAAACCCTGTAGTAATTGAATGATTGCTGGTCACTTGGGTTCAAACCCTGTCAGGGACAAGCCTTTGTTTTCTTAAGCAAGAAACTTGACACCTACTGCTCAAATACTGGTTGGTTCCAGAACTGATTCGAGAGTTTCAATAAGCTTACGGCTTCAAACACAAACTAAATTCTGTATAAATTAATACATTTTGATTCAGCATGAATTAAAGCTTTGCAAAATTATAAAAGTGCAATGTCAGTATATTATAGAAAACTTAAATTATTTATAATTTGTTAAGCTGGTATCAGTCAGCACAACCGATACTGTATAAATATATATTTACTAAGTACATGTCAAGTGCATAATGTATTTTAGTAATATTTACTTTGCACCCTTAACTTGCTGAAGCCGAAAGTGATAAGCCTTTGCCACTAGTCTAGAGCTAGGCCAGCTTACTTGTCCATGTTCTCTGACCAGGCTCTGATGTGTTCATTTGGTCGTATAATTTTCCCATACAGCTTTTTTTAAGAAGTCAAATTGTCAGACCTACTTTTGATATTTAAAATCCCTCAAACTTGGAATGGACTGTTCCAAATTTCAAAGCAAGACAAATAAATTATGCAAAATCAGCAGGTTAAATGAAAATTTTATGAATGTGTAAAGATATTTTGTAATAACACTTAAGTTCGTAAACAAATTTTAACATGGTTATGAATACTATGATTAGTTTGTGCAATCAAATTCAGGCAATCAAATCATCAAATTTTTAAATTTTCAAAAAGCAATGGTTGTTAATATGTAACATGGGAAATGCATGATTTTCCCTTCTAATCCGGATGTGCAAACTTACTTTTACCATTCTAGCTTTAAGATGCCTACTTTTCACAATTATGTAATCAATGAATTAAGAAAGGATGATTTGGAAGTATACCATTAAATTAGGCAAAATCTTTCTGAGCAGCTGTTGGGTCATTTGAACATCAACCATGGCAACTTAAAGGTAGAGTTTCTAATGCAAACAGAAATTGTTCTTTCAATTTTGCCAAAAGAGGTTACAGACATTTACGCTTACAAAACTCATATTAGAAGTACGAACATCAAAATAAGAACTAGAGTCCATGGGGAACCTATTTTTTATCAATGAAATATAGCAGTCTATGTTTTAATGAAATCCCTCTTTGAAAAAGAAAAGTTAAACAATTGAATTATAAAATGCAGCTATATGAATAAAGCTTGAAAGAGTGTATACAATAAATGGACAAACCTTTTGATGAGGTGGACTTCACCATCCAAATGTTCAAATTGTAGCGTCAGTTGACAGGTCCTCTTCCCACAGTGCTTATCAATAAGATAGTCATTGGGTAATGATTTCTATGCTAAATTTTCCTCTATTTATATCATTCTGAAGGACCATGTGGCGAGGAAAATAATGTTGTATGGAAAAATCTTCTGAATTGGAAACGTCAGATTGCCTTAAATGGTGGGCGTTAAACTTGAAAGTGCTTATCAATTTAAATTTCTCTAGTTGAAATTCTAAGTAAGCTGAAAGTAAACTTTTTGAATGTATTATTTCCTAGTAAATCTCTAGCAATGTTATATGAATTAATATTTTAGCAATTACATTGTATCATAAGGTTATTTGATATGTATTATGTTTAAGACCATTATATGAATGCAGTGTTGTTGTTTTTTCATGATTGAAAGATTATTTTCAACTACAAAAAAATTACAGATCAGAGCATATCTTGCCCCACCCCTGTGGTGCTCTTTATTTGAAAATATTTCATGATAAGGATAGAGAAATGATTGAGATGAAATGTGTCGCGGGGGTGGGGGGTGTTGGAGAGAGTATTAAGATTCTGTCGGAAAATTTGTGTTGCCTGGTTTGTGGCAATCTTGATATCTGATATTATGGAAAAAAAATCCACACCATCATTTGAGTATAATATATCCTGAAAAGATGACAAGTTCAATGGTAATAAAGATCAGAAAGATTAGATTATATATTTTACATATGAGCCGCGTCGCGACAAAAGCAACATAGTGCGTTTGTGACCAGCATGGATCCAGACCAGCCTGCGCATCCCCGCAGTCTGATCAGGATCCATGCTGTTAGCTTACCAACTCTATTACAAGTAGAGAAACTGATAGCGAACAGCATGGATCCTGGTCAGACTGCGCGGATGCACAGGCTGGTCTAGATCCATGCTAGTCACAAACGCATTATGTTGATTTTGTTGTGACGCGGCTCATATTATATATTTCAGTGAAGCTTAAACTCTGATTTGTCTTCCAGTTAATCCGGCTAGGATTATTTCATGTCAGGAAGCTATCTAGCCAGCTTACAGAACTACAGAATGTCAGTGGTTCTACTCGGGTGCATCTGAAATAATGCATGGCGGAACATCTGAGGTCTTACTCCACCATGAAAGCTGGAAAGTTGCCATATGACCACTACTGTGTTGTTGTGTCTCCCAACCCCCACCACCACCCTTCCAAAAAAACAAAAAGCCCAGCTATTTTAAGCCAAGCAATCAAATTGTCAGTTCCAGATAACAAAAAAATAAATCTTTAAAGTACATGTATGCGTACTTAGACACATCAGTTATTGTTATTATTATACCCCCGCACAACAAAGTTGTAAGGGGGTATACTGGAATCAGCTTGTCCGGCCGTCCGTCCGTCTGTTTTTTCTTGTCCGCCCAATAACTTAAGATTCCTTTGACCCTTAGTCTTCATATTTGGCATGGAGGTTAGTCATGATTAGTAGATGACCCCTATTGATTTTGAGGTCACTAGGTCAAAGGTCAAGGTCACAGGGGCTTTGACTTTAAAAAGCTTGTCCGCCCAATAACTTAAGATTCCTTTGACCCTTAGTCTTCATATTTGGCATGGAGGTTAGTCATGATAAGTAGATGACCCCTATTGATTTTGAGGTCACTAAATCAAAGGTCAAGGTCACAGGGGCCTTGACTTCAAAAAGCTTGTCCGCCCAATAACTTAAGATTCCTTTGACCCTTAGTCTTCATATTTGGCATGGAGGTTAGTCATGATAAGTATATGACACCTATTGATTTTGAGGTCACTAGGTCAAAGGTCAAGGTCACAGGGGCCTTGACTTCAAAAAAGCTTGTCCCGCCCAAATGAACTTAAGGACTCCTTTGACCCTAAGTCTTCATATTTGGCATGGAGGTTAGTCATGATAAGTAGATGACACCTATTGATTTTTGAGGTCACTAGGTTCAAAGGTCAAGGTCACAGGGGCCTTGACTTCAAAAAGCTTGTCCGCCCAATTAGTTAGGATTCCTTTGACCAACAGTCTTCATATTGGCATGGAGGTTAGTCATGATTAGTAGATGACCCCTATTGATTTTGAGGTCACTAGGTCAAAGGTCAAGGTCACAGGGGCTTTGACTTTAAAAAGCTTGTCCGCCCAATAACTTAAGATTCCTTTGACCCTTAGTCTTCATATTTGGCATGGAGGTTAGTCATGATAAGTAGATGACCCCTATTGATTTTGAGGTCACTAAATCAAAGGTCAAGGTCACAGGGGCCTTGACTTCAAAAAGCTTGTCCGCCCAATAACTTAAGATTCCTTTGACCCTTAGTCTTCATATTTGGCATGGAGGTTAGTCATGATAAGTATATGACACCTATTGATTTTGAGGTCACTAGGTCAAAGGTCAAGGTCACAGGGGCCTTGACTTCAAAAAGCTTGTCCGCCCAATAACTTAAGACTCCTTTGACCCTAAGTCTTCATATTTGGCATGGAGGTTAGTCATGATAAGTAGATGACACCTATTGATTTTGAGGTCACTAGGTCAAAGGTCAAGGTCACAGGGGCCTTGACTTCAAAAAGCTTGTCCGCCCAATTAGTTAGGATTCCTTTGACCAACAGTCTTCATATTTGGCATGGAGGTTAGTCATGATTAGTAGATGACCCGTATTGATTTTGATGTCACCAGGTCAAAGGTCAAGGTCACAGGGGCCTTGACTTCAAAAAGCTTGTCCGCCCAATAACTTAAGATTCCTTTGACCTACAGTTGTCATATTTGGCATGGAGGTTAGTCATGATTAGTAGATGACCCCTATTGATTTTGAGGTCACCAGGTCAAAGGTCAAGGCCATAGGGACTTTGACTTCAAAAACTTTGTCTGCCCAATAACTTTAGATTCCTTTGACCCACAGTCTTCATATTTGGCATGGATGTTGATCATGATTAGTAGATGACCCCTTTTGATTTTAAGGTCACTGGATCAAAGGTCAAGGTCATAGGGACTTTGACTTCAAAAAGTTTGTCTACCCATTAACTTAAGATTCCTTTGACCCACAGTCTTCATATTTGGTATGGTTGTTGATCATGACTATAAGGTGACCCCTATTGATTTTGGGGTCAAAGGTCAAGGTCAAAAAAAAGCTTTTCTTTTCAATTGCTTAAAAATGTCCTGTCCGCAATGTATTGATTTTGACATTTTCACATTTGAAGCATGTAGAATACATAACTTAGCTATGCACTGGCTTAGTAACCTAAGATTTGGCAGGGAGGTTGTCCTTGAGCTCTAAATGGCCACTGTTGATTCTGACAAAGTGGTATGCGGGGGTATTCACGCCATGATAGTTGCAGTTCTAGTTTTGGTTGTTGAAGATTATTTCCACTAAAAGGATAGGCTTCACCACTTTTTGTTGATCTTTAACATCTTAAAATAGTAAAAATCACTGCGGGTAGATAATTGAAACTGAATTTAAAAAAAACTGGTTGAATATCCTTATATGGTAAAAACTGTTAAATGTTTTAATGACTTATTTGACGTGTTATTTGTTTCAGTTTTGGTCCAAGTGTTTCCTTATCTCATGATTACATATAATTCTTTGAAAATAATTGTTAAATAAGTGTGTTCAGAGGCTTTGGCCTACCCTTGCTGTACTATGTAACCAATACAATGTGGTGAATGATGTCATTTTTAGTTGGTTTTTTTTTTCGAGCAGCATACCTTGTCTGGTTTCTATACTGTGTAACCAATACAATGTGGCGCATGATGTCATTTTTAGGGTATTTTGAAAATCATACATTGTCTCGATAAGGAGAAAAAAAAAACTGCTGTAAATATTTTATTTCTTACTCAAATGTAACGTTCAAAGGTAATAGAAAAAGCATAAATACAGTCTAAATACATTGTCCATATTAAGAAAAATGAGACTCGTCATGACAAAATCAGCAACCAGCATGGACACAGACCAGCCTGCTCATCCGCGCAGTCTGATCAGGATTTATGCTGTTCGCTATTTATTTATCTACTTGTAATAAGGTTTGTAAGCGAACAGTATGTAATCTGATCAGACTGCCCGGATTCCCAGGCTGGTCTTGATCCATGCTGGTCCGGATGCACTATGTTGGTTTTGTCATGGCGCGGCTCAAATAGTTTTTAAATATTTTTTATGGACATGCTTAGTGGGGTCCTTTTCCTTCGGGTTTAGTGAGGGGTCATTTGGATAATGCTGAATCACCAGTGCCAAAAATAGATTTTTACACTTTTATAGGTGTAACCTTTATCTATTGACAGATTTCTTATGTATTTGGTAGGAACTTGAATTGAGAGTCTTCTACCTTTTGATGGAGTTAGAGATCATATTGTACATGTAATTATTTTCACTATTCAGGAATGGGTGTGTTATTTCAAACTTTCAGTTTAAGCCACTAGAACAGTTGATGGGCGTGTTTCCGGCAGGAAGTAAACAACACGTTCCACCCACCTGGCAGGAATTGATGACAGATCCAAAATCTCCAATTATTGATTTTTATCCAATCAACTTCAAGATAGATCTCAATGGCAAAAAGTATGCTTGGCAAGGTACAAAAATGATTATTTTTTTACTGAATTATTGGAAATTTTAATATATAACATAAATGATATGGTTTATTGAAACATAATTCAATGTTTCAACTTTTAAGTCTGCGTTCTTAATCTTATCAGTACTAGTGTAATATGAGAGACAGAAAAAGTTTTGTGACAAGAGTTGGTGTTGAACCTTTGACTTCTGGTTTAAAGGACACACACTTAATTACAAGGTCGCCATTTCACTTGATGGTGGTACTACACAGTCCGAGATCTCAGAGTAATTCTTATGAACAAAACTTCAGATTAGAGATTAAACACTTTTAAGTTGTGAAACTTAAAGTTTTTTCTGTTTATTTTTTGTTGAAAGGTGTTGCCCTATTACCATTTGTGGATGAGAAAAGGTTATGGAAAGCCTTGGACAAAGTCTATCCAGATCTCACAGATGCTGAAAGTAAGGACTTTTATTATTATCCTCCAGAATAATTGCCTCATATTTGTTTTAAATCTATGTTTTTAGACCTAATCCTTTGACTTTCCTTGCTTCTTTTAACCATTTGCATGCTGGGAAAATTGTCGTCTGCTAAATTTTATTTTTTTTGTGGGGATGGGGTGGGTTGTTGGTTTTTTTGGTTTTTAAATAGAAAGTAGAATTTTGTTCTGAGATGAGAAAAAGGGGCATCTTCCCTATTCATAAAAGTTTTAAATTGAAGTAGATTGGCCTACAATGGGCACATTTCCATAAGTATTTCAAATATTGCTAAAAAAATGACTTGTAAAATAATCAAAACAAGGTCAATGTGACTAAAATCTAGTCCAAACGGCACCCCACCCACTCAAAAAAAAAGAGGTAGGATAAAAGTAGAAAAATATATCAAAATAATAATTTCTATTCAGTTTTTTATTTTTTATTTGGCATACAAACTGAAAAATGTTCTTCACCTAGTAACAGGCAGTAATTAACAAAATGAGCGTAAACTATAGAGCCTATCAAATCAGTTGCAAATAATACAAAACAAGTATTTTTTAAGACATCAATTTAGTTTGATTTATACCTGGTTACCAGTTTCTTTTAATTTGATTGTGTTGGAAGCTGTTAGCTTATTAAAACACTCTCGAATCCGTTCCTAGAACCAACCAGTACTAAGCAATGAGGATTAAGTTTCTTGCTCAAGGAAACAATGGCTTGCCCCTGATGGGGTTTGAACCCATGCGGCCAGCAATCCTTTGATTACTAGTCCGACGTTCTAAGCTTTCGGCTATGCAGACACATCAGTTTACGTTCTTGTACTGCTAACACCAGAGAATATTGTTGTGGTGCTAGTAATCTTATGCTCTGAAGCATGGCATGACACCTAACTCTGGCTATTTTGTTATTTCAGGCCGAAGTAAATTAATAATTATAGTTATCACACTTATTTAAAATATTAGAAAATTGAAATCATGCATTTGTCACAACTGTCTGTCTGTTTAGCTAAATTCTTTGTTTTTATTGTTTTACAGTAAAAAGAAATATCCGAGGGAGTGACAGATTGTTTGTGAGTCAGTCACATTCAGTACATGCTTTCCTCGAGGCACTGTATGAGGAAGACAAGAGCGATAAAACTGTAAGTTATATTCTTTACTTGAAAAAAAACAAAAACAAAAAAAAACCTTCAGTTTCTTCTCAGGAAGTGAGGTTTACGGTAACTCTTGAGTGAGACTAAAACATGTTAAACCCACCACACTAAATACCATTTTTTCAGTATTAATAAAAAAGGGGCTTGAATGGATCACATGAAAAAAATTTTTTCCCCTTTTTTCATTTTAAACATTAATTATTTGTTCACACGATTTTTTGAAATGAATAAAAATTACGCAAGACTCTGTGTAAAAGCAATATTTTTTGCTAGACTTTTTTAAAAAAAAATAATAAAAAAGAGGTATTGTCACAGTGGTGTCGGCGTTGCCATCTGCAAACTTTAACCTTGATCATATCTTTTTAAGTTCTTGGTGTATTGTCGTCATACTTGGCCACAACATCCCGTATTTCCTTTTGAATTATATACAGGTGAAAATGATCCTCAAGAGCTGTCAGTTAATATAGACTCGTATTAAACCATAACTTGATACATTTCTAAAATAGACTTGTCCAGCTTCCATTTTTAGACCTGTCCATTATCAAATTCTGGGGATATCAAGTTAAAAATTTAAAGTTGGTCAGTCAGCATTGAAGAGCCTGGTCAGACTTGTCAGGTTCTGTACTGGTGACAAGTGTTAATCACATTCCGTTCCTGCTGGGTCAGATTAAACATGTCTAAGAAAGAGTTATATAGTGAGCTTATATCAAAATTATAACCATTTCTATAATAAGTTGTAAAGTATGGTTCTTTTCATCTCATGATATTTTAAGAGCAAAACTTGCAGAATTTTTTTTTTTTATGAGGGGGGGGGGCAAAAGCGTAGTTTTATATTGTTGAAAGTTTTTGTGATTTTAAATGTCACAACATTATAGCTATAAATATAAAGTAATGAATACAGTGGTACAGTTTCAAGTAAAAAAAGGTGAGCTTGGGGAACATAATGGAAAAAAAGTTGAATTTTTGTTATAGAAAAATAATGTTCATATAACATTGAAAACAAAGAGATGCCTTGTGATAGTTAATATAAAAAAACCCAACCAATTCAATTGTGCTATGAAAATCTTATTAATGATTAAGTAGGTGTATTTCCCTTTTTTACTTGCATTCTAAATTTAACAAGTTTCTTAGTTGGTTTCAGTGATAGCACTTACATTGTACTTATTTGTATCATCTCTTCCTTATGATTACTTTATTTAAGCCTATACTTTAAGTAATTTCAAAGAAACAAATGAAAGCCTCTTGAATAGAAATAAGAACGCAATTGAAATAATTTCCCAACTTTGCACTTACAGAGGGAAGCAAAATGTAACATACGTAAATGAAGAAATGTTTGTTAATTTCGTATGATTTTACTTCCAGCAATTAGAAGTTAATCCGTCACAAGCTCAGGGCATGGCAGGCAAAGTATGGCAAGATGAGTTTGTGTACCTCACTGGCGAGTAAGTTCTTTCATTGGTCTATATATTTGTATTCAACCTGACCACATGCTTAGAAGTGACTTTTTTGGTCTGGAAGGTTGGCCTTGTCAGTATATCTGTCTGTCTGTCTGTCTGTATTTCAGAAATTCTGTTCAAATCATAACATTGTTGTGCACAAAACCTAGTCCTGTACAACAAAGGTCAGTCAAGGTTACATTGAGGTGAAAGCAAAAAAATGTATATTTATTTATGTCCGGTCCATAACTTGTCATATTTTTACTCTTTTTTTCATTCTAACGTTTCATTTTGACAGACATGGCATTAAACTAATTGATAATATTTAATTAAATTGTCACCTTAGTGCAATACTGTAATAAGTTCTTCTATTTTTAATAGCAGTTATTGAGTTATTGCACTAAGGTGACATAATATGATAATAATAATAGTAAATCAAATGGACTTAAACCTTGTACTATTAACGCAACTCTGTTACCTATATAGTCCTAATATTTTGTAATGGGCCATCATACATACGTTAAAGTGAAAAATCTTTGATCTAGTTCTACAAAATATTCCATGTTGATATTGAATTTGTCTACTTTGTTATTAAATTCATTAATGAATTTCAATGCAGACATAAGGAAATGTTAAGTAGCTTTATACTACAGTAAAGGCACTTATAAAGGGAAATAAGTATAACATTTATAATTATGATATGAGCCGCATCACGACAAAACCAACATAGTGCGTTTGCTACCAGCATGGATCAAGACCAGCCTGCGCATCCCCGCAGTCTGATCAGGATCCATGCTGTTCGCTTACCAACCTTTTTACAAGTAGAGAAACTGATAGCGAACAGCATGGATCCTGATCAGACTGCGGGGATGCGCAGGCTGGTCTGGATCCATGCTGGTTGCAAACACACTATGTTGGTTTTGTCGTGACACGGCTCAATACTATGTTTTTCTTTTAATATTCTAATAAAAAGTCCTTATCTTCATATTATCAACAAAGTTCATGATATATAATTAAAACCTGTGTAAAAGACCATCTCCAAATAAAGACCATACTGTAAATAAAAACCACTCTCTGACAATCTTTCCTTGATAAAAATATAACAGAATAAACTCCAAATAAAGACCACATGTCTACAAGTTGAATAAAGTAATATTATGCGAGCCTCTGGCAAGCATAATATTATTTTATTCAACGAGTTCAATAAATTCAGTATTGAACTTACACGAATATAATATTCTTTTTATCACAAGTGGAAAAGAATCATTTTTCAACAACACACCTATAGTAAAATGCTAACATTTAGCGCGTTTTACATTTTACACTATGTTTGTATAACGCAAATGACATCACGTCAATATATATGCACATCCATGCAATACCGTTTTTATGGAGTCGCAAAATCGGCACGGGTGTGTGATAAACTTATATTTCAGGCATCAGGTTAATTTTACTTTGTCATGGGTGTATATTTCCTCTACTGCAGTTGGTTGTAACAAAACATTGGGGTGGGATGGGAGCTCCAGGGCTTACTTATAACAAAACAATGAGGTGGGAGGGCAGCTCCAGGATGAATATGGTTGATGGTTCTACTCAGATGCCTGCTTATGACTAAATATTGTTCACAGAGGGCAACTCGGGTCTTTCTCCGCTGGAAATCAGAAAAATAAGCATATTTATGACTGTAACACTGTCAGTAACCAAAATATCACCACAATAGTACGAAGATAAAACAGTAAACTATAGAATATGAAGGTCTTGGTAAAAAGTCAATGTGAAATATTGTACACATCATGCTATCCTCAAATGTTTTAAAAATTTATAAATCTTTGATTTTCAGAACTGTGAAAAGTCCCTTACCTCAGCTAGCAGATCTTGAAGACAATAGGGTTGTAAGGTAAATATAAAAACAGCAGATGTCAAGTGAAAGAGGTTTACCTTTGACATGCTGAATTTCCTCAATGGAATTGTCCTTATTCAAATTTCAAAGTTGTGAGGCTTTCAATATCAAAGTTGAAATTAAGCTAGTAAGTTTATAGCCTTGTTTATAGCCTTATTTTTATTTCCAGAAGGCTATTTTTGTTTACAGAAGGCTATTTTGTTTCAAGAAGGTTATTTTTGTTTCCAGATGCTAAGGGTTTAACCTTTAAACACAAGTGACGGCCATAACAGATGTAAAACACCACTATTGGGCCAGTCTATTCTGCTTTTATGGGCAGTAAAAACCAGACATTGTACTATTGGCTGATTTAGTTTAATATACCAATGTGGATGTGTACCAATCTAAATTCAAAGCTGAATAAATGCAATATACAAGGAAAGCAGGGTCTAGATTATAATTGTTCATTTACATACAAGTTTATTCAGTTGTGTTGATGTTAGATTATTGCCATAAATTGTGACATTCCAAGGCAGAGTTAATGGTTGTTTAGTATATATAACCTTTTATATAGTTCTCTTTAACAATGGTTGCTGTGAAACATTTATATTGAGGTTTGACTGTACCATTATGAGACGACATCTTTATTGAGATTTGACTGTATTAAAGTCTTTTTTTACAGTGTACAGTACTGTGACCCTATGTATAAGACAGGATTCCATTTTCAAGCCAAAGTTTTGCCTGGAGCTGTGTGAGTAGACTTTTTTTTACATAGATTTCAGTGGGGTGAATGAAAATTTACCTTTAAATGTTTTAATTTAGTTTGCTTAATCAAAATTTACTGTTAAATCACGTAGTTCAGTTGGGTTAGATGAAATTTACCCTGTAAATGCATTAGTTTTTGTTAGGTTAATTGAAATAAACGCTGTTCATGCATTGATTGAATTTTTCAGTTTAGTACATTTAATTTGCCTGTACACTTGTATAGTCTAACCCGACTATATACTTTTCCTTGCTTGATTTCAGCATTTTTATCTTTATTTCTCCAATAACTAATAGCTAATGCAAAATAATAGAGAAGAATAGTGGCCCCGGGGTGAGGGTGTGTTCTTGAATTTTCTATGTGATAAGAACTAACACACAGAAGGTTAGTGTTTCTACATAGGTGAAGACTTGAGCCTAAAATAATGCCTAGCGGGGCACCTGACGTCTCCCACTAACTGAAGCTCTAAAGTCAACCAATATATTTAATGATAACTTGGGTTATACTTCATGTTTGTTTTTTTTTTAACCACCTCCTTGGTAGAGAGGTTAAATTTGATGACTTCTAATCCAGTTACCTCCCTGGCATGGGTTCGATCCCTGGGAGATGCTTTTGTAGTTTAGCGCAGAGGAAGGTAGTCTAGTACTGGTGTAACTCTCCAGGAACGATGGTTAGGAAACTATCCGCCTTTATGACTGAATACTGTTGGGAAAAGGCGTAAAATGAAACAAACAAACAAATCATGTTTGTTTTTAATTTCTTCTATAGTATGCCAGACAAAGTGTTAAAACCGGAGGATTTTGACAAGTTTAACAGAGGTAACCAGTATCGTCCCCAGCTCGGCTTTCAGAGAGACAGTGGTTACAGGGGACGTAGGGACATGGGACCAGCAAATAGAATGATCAGGTAAACCTCATGTTTTAATTAAAAATAACCCATTCCCCATAATCAAGTTTAAAACATATTGCACCAGTAGTGGTATCACTTGCAGTTTAACCGTAAAAAAAATGATAATATGGACAGATATATTATAAATTTATAATAAGACGTCCCATTTTGTTAAGACATTAGGTGAATTGTGAAAAACATATGAGCCGCGTCACGACAAAACTAACAAAATGGGTTTGCGACAGGCTGGTCTGAATCCATGCTGGTCACAATCCCATTCTGTTGGTTTTGTCATGACGCGGCTCATATGTAGATAATTGATAGTTGTTTATAGAAGTTATTCTCTCACATTGATTATAAAAGCAATCTCTTATTATGGTTATAATTATATACATGTATAATAAAAAATTGTAGCTAGAAAGTTTTCATTTTATTACCTCCCTTTAATTATATTTATGTATTTGATGATACGAGGATCATTCAGTCAGTTATGCTGCTGATTGGTTTCCGTAGTTTTATCCTCATAGAATTTTAAAATGCTTCATTGCACTTTATTGAGGTGTTCGATAGCTAACTATAACATATTGTGTCATGCTATTTGTGTGTTAAATGACCAAATTATTTCAATTCCAAATACATGCAGTCATATACACTGACCAATTTACTGACCATTTTGTACAATGGGAAACAAAACTGACATTCAAGGATACAAGCATTAAACATTGTCTAAAACCATAATTTAAACATTATAAACTTTATATTTGCCCTTTGTAAAGAAGTTAAAATATATGATGTTTCTGAGGCATAATGGGCCTTTAAACAGTGAGTAGCCAGGAATGTATACAATTAATGCCAGTTATATTTTACTTCAGATTTTTCTCATCATTTTTCATTAATAAATAATTTCATATGTCTCCACTAGTGATGATGATATTATTAAAATACACATGCATTTATGGAGGTATCTAGCTTAGTTCCATGCTTGTTTCAACTAATCCGCTCTAACACTACTGCTTCCAGTTAGCTTAGCTTGTTCTATATTTTAGTCAAAGAAGACTGAATAAATTTTTTCCTTTGATTTTATTTCCAGGCTGTCTTTAAGACACGTTTTATGAAGGTTTTTCTGTGATTAATAACTGTTTATTCTTTTTTGCTTTTTAAAGATTTTGTAATTAATCATTGACCAGCTGAATTTCTTAAATGAACTTATCCAGGTTCCATTTTTTGGAACTGTTCATTATAAACTTTAGGGATATCAAGATGAAAGTGTGAAGTTTGGTCATGCAACAGTATAAAGCCTGGTCATACTGCCATAATGTGCAGGCTTGCGTGGGTCTATACTGGTGGCAAAAGTTTAACACTTACGGCTCAAAAAGGTTTAGGCCTAACGGAGAATTTCTTAATGTACAACTACCATACAATATCATTGATAATTAAATGTTTGATTGTTTTGTTGTTGTTTTATTTTGGGGGGGGGGGGGGGGGGCCCAAGAATGTTCAAATCTTATCAGTGACTAAACAATTTTTTTCGTGCGAGAAAGTTGTCCATCATAGGTTGGTGGTTCTACTCGGGTGCCTATTTGTGTCTGAAAAAAATTGTAGGAAAGGGCACTTGAGGTCAACCTCTATCAGTACAGCTGTAATATCACCAGATGACCTTAATAGTGTCAAAACAAACAAACAAACCTACCGAAAAACCAGGCTACAGTAGGAAGGTAGGATGAATTGAATACAAAAAAAAAACACTTAATATTTCAGAAAAACCTTCATGTTACCCAACATTGCTCTGAATCTCTTATTTATGTTATCATTTTTGAATCCTATATGATTTAAATGAGCTGCGTTACAACAAAACCAACGTAATGCGTTTGCGACCAGCATGGATCCAGACCAGCCTGCGCATTCTGAGGTATCATGACAGGATCAAATGCTTTCCGGTTCATTTTTCTACTGTTCATGGGTTGGTTAGAAAGATGTGGGTCCTATCAGAAACCTGGTCGATTCGCAGGCAGGCTCTGGATCATTGTGTGGTTTTCATTACGCCATAATGAGGTTTAGGTCGGTTCTGATGCAGCCTACAATATTTATTAATGTTTGATTGTTCTTATTGTTGACACAGGGTATTAAATGTTGATTGTTTATTTTAAATAAATTTCGGGGAATTAAGTTTTCCCTTATCAATATTTTTGGTGAAAATTAACAAAAAATTTTTTCTGCTTAGAACAGGATATACAACTGTTTACACTGGTGTTAGAAAAACCTGTCTTACAGCACCTATGTAAAACAAGTCGCATGTTTTAAATGACGTCATTCCCATGTGTCTTTTATGATTGAATTGCGTTCTTGGGTTGACATCATTGTGCCATTGGGAATGAAGTTGTGAAATCATACACTACTATAAAAAAAAAGTGCTAAATTAATGAAGATATTAGTTTTTGTAATTTCTTTTCGAAATAGTATTAATTTGTTATATGCCTCCGTGGTCCAGGGGTTAGAGTCAATGACTTCTAATCCAGTTACCTCTCTGGCGTGGGTTCGATCCCCGGGAGATGCTTTGGTAGTTTAGCAAAGAGGAAGGTAGCCTAGTTCTGGTGTAACTCTCCACGAAGGATGGTTAGGAAACTACCCGCCTATATTACTGAAATACTGTTGTGAAAAGGCGTAGAATGAAACAAACAAACAAACAGCAAGAAAAAGAATAAAAGCAGGCTGTCACTACAGACTTGAATATCTAGCTCTCAGGTAACTGTTTAGCAGAAACTCTGCAGAGCTTTGAAATTGCGGTAAACAGTAACCCTCGAAGCTAGATATTCTAGTCTGTACTGGCAGCAGGTATAAGATCCTTATAGAGGCCATTGTTTAAGTTGTCTGCCCATCATTGAAATAAATCAATCAAACAAAATCATGTTTCCTCATGTATAACCGGTACTGATCATTTTCAGACACAGTTTCCATAGTGACTGTTTTATGAAGAAAGATTTTGGACATTGGTTAATACGTTTAAATCAATGTAAATAAATCATTTGCATATATGACATAAGATGTAAATATTACTTTTCACAAGTTTATTATGATACTGGTGTTTACAACACTTAAGGACACTTAATAGATTAAAAAAAAATTGTAACCAAGGGGAATAATTCTTTTTGTTATGTTCAAGATAATGAAGTTGGTTTTCTCCCTTGCATTGATTGTTTAGTGCATTTTAGATATGATTTTCATTGTTTCATATAAATATCTATCATTTTTTTGCTTGATAACTTAAAGAGTAGGGAGAGCTCCATAGTGTGGGGGCGTACTATTTAGGTTAAGTTTTAAGTTTTAAATTAAATGTTTCCAGTGGTTTTTACAAAGTCATGACAGGCCATCAATGTTTTCTTAAAATCTTTGATGAAAACTGTTTTTCTTCAAGAAGGATACCAAAAGAAAATGAAAGAAAGTCTGGTTGTATTTAAACGTATAAAAAATGAAATGTCTGTATAAAGCTCATTTGTTGATGAAATTCTTGAAGACTATATTTAAGAAATGAAATTAGTTAAGTGATTAATATTATATTACTAGTGAAATATCGAAATGAGGTACATTGATATTTTCTATATTTCATTCAGGGGCGGTGCCAATATAGCTCCACCTTCATCCTACGGTAATCAAGGTGGCTACAATCAAAATAATAGAGGTAAGGCTTTTAGATTTTATACACAGACTTTGATGAAAACTTAAATAAAGAAATGTTTCTTTTATGTTGATCTCCCTCCTTCCCTTCCATCCTTATCCGCATTAGCTCAATATGGAGAACATGCAATTTACCTAGGATAGTCTGTTAGATGGAACGATTTCTTAGATTACCAACATGTATTAAAATCAGATTTAAAAGCAGATAAGAAACAGACAAGATAAGGAACAAACAAAAATGTCTTTCCCCTCTCTCTCATTTGGCTTTATCAATTTTAAAATAATATAATCTTGGTTCCATGCAACAATGGATGTTGTCCTAGAAGACCGAAGAAATTTTCTTCATTTTGTCTTTGATAAATATATCGAAATTTATCAGGCTGAGGCTGCTATATTTTTACTTTTACAGCAATTTTTTTCATGTCCTAAGTTTGATATTTGGATAATTCAAGGTGGCTTCACTATAAAAAATCTAACATTTTTGACAATTTTCACATTCTAAGTTTTGTATTTTGATAATAAAAGTTGGCTTTACTATAAAAAAATCTTAACATTTGGCAACAAATTTGTCAGATTTCATGAATGTAAGGTAGGCCTGACTTTATATTGTTGGCATAGGGAAATCCCCATTGCTACCAGAATTTGAAAAGTTTCAAAGAATTTAAAACAAAAACAAAACAAAAACTTGAGTTGAATTTATTCACATTGCCCATCTTGGTGGTCATTTTGAATTTTCGGAGCCATATTGATTTCGAGTTTGGTGGGTAAGATAACTGACTTTTAACATATTATATGGTCTGCTTGTAGAATTATCTGAACGATTCTTGTATTTTATCCTCAGATGGACTCTTAACTACTCCAGCATTCGCAATGTTCAGAAGGAAAAAAATGAATATTCGTATAAAGGATGAATATGTTGATATCTGTATGTAAGTCATCTGAGGTTAAGGTAACTGACTGGAGAGTAGATATCTAATGTAAACATTGTAAACAAGATAATCTAGATGGTCCTATCTTTAATGAACAAGAAAATGCAAGTTTGAGCTTCACTGTGTTTGTATGAACCACTTGTTGTTTTTGATGGGTTTTTTTTGTTGTTGTTGTTTTTGGTTTTTTTGTGTTTTTGGTTTTTTTGTTGGTTTAGTGTTGTTGTTGGTTTCTTTGTAAGGTATAGATGTGTTAATACTATAAAAGTCATAATTCGATTTTACATCTTAAGTTTTAGGGAAAGAAAAAGGAACAGTCACTCCCCTTGCCCCAAACCCTCGTCCCTTTAAATAGCTTGTTTTATTGTACAAGCTGGCATCAAAGTTGAAGCATTTACGCTGATAGTTTCTTAGTTTTTAATAATTCCATTGTCCCTGGCAGAATTCAAACCCACGCATGAGGGGTAAGTGATTTGATGACAAAGATGGTGAATACTTGGCCATGGAGACCCCCCAGTTTATTTGTGGTGTAGTATCCAGTTGTATATGACTGAACAGCAAAATTCACAGAAACATTTTCATCCATTATTGTCTATTGTAGACACAGTGAAATGTTAAAGATCCTGTAACTCAAATTTTTTATGGTATTATATCATAAATATATTGCTCAAATGTAGATTAATCAACATTGTAAGTTCCAAAAAGCACTATTTGTAAAGATTACATTTCAAGTTAATAAAGGGAGGTAATTAGAAATTGATTTTCTATAAAATCTAAGTCAGATGTTTCAATATGATTTTAATGATTAGATATATATATTCTACATATAATGTGGCCAAATATTTGCAGTACATATTTTACATATTCTTCAATGTTTGAAAATTGTTTTAGAAGCATAATTATAGATATATAATTTATACACTGCCCTCCAAAAGTCCCTTCACAGACAACATTTTTTAAGATTTTTGGCTTTACTTATTTAAAACAAAGTTTTACATTATTTTTTATAACATTTATTTATACATTATACCCATATTTTAAGATATGAATACCTGAAATAACAAAAATACATAACTCAACAAAAACAGAACATAACACCACTTTGCTAGATTTCATATCACGGAAATCAACTTTTGTCAATATTTAGTGTAGCCACCATTAGCATCTAAGACAGCCTGAACACGCCTAGGCATGCTATTCACTAGTCTCTCACAACGTTCCACTGCAATTTCTTCCCAACACTGCCTTACATTCATATCGAGTTCATTAAGATTTGCACTTCGTCTTGTTTTAAGAGCTTTCTTGATGTCCCACCACAGATTTTCAATAGGGTTCAAGTCTGGAGACTGAGGAGGCCACACTAAACTTCGAATGCCATTGGTATTCTTCCATTCTGTGACAATCCTTGCCCTATGACAAGGTGCGCCATCGTCCTGGAGCCAGAAATTACCTCCATAGCCCAAGTAGTGGGCCGATGGCACAGCACTATTGCCAAGAATATCAATGTATCCAAGGGCATTTAAGTTACCAGTAACTCTCGTGAGGAATGCAGTCCCGCGATTACGACATGGCGCCCCACATCATGATCCCCCTCCACCAAATTTGAAAAGTTGGCACCACACAATCATCTCGAAGCTGCTCACCATTGCCGCCTCCTGACGAAGGTTGGTCCATCACTCTGAAACATTGTGAACCTTGACTCATCAGTCCACAAAACTGCCGACCAAATCAACCCGTGTCCACGTCGAATGCTCTCTGGCGAATGTTAATCTCAGATTTCTGTGCCTCTGGGTCAGCATAGGCTTTTTCTGGGCAACATGTCCAGTCAAACCAACATCCTTCAGTCGCCTACGGACAGTTGAAGTAGAGGAAACTACACCAGCATGGTTCCATGATGCTGTAAGATCTGGAACTGTCAGCCTCCTGTTCTGCAGTGACTCTCGAATAAGACGGCGGTCATCACGAGCGTTGGACAATCTGGGTCTACCAGATCTGGGCAGATCAGCATGGCTACCTTGGTTGTTGTACCTTGACAGAGCAGCATACACAGAATGCCTGCAAGAAAATAAAAGAAATCTAAGTAAGACCAAGACAAACATTCAAACAAATCTCATTTCTAAGATTTCACAGCACAAAAAAAATACTTTGAGGAGAGACAATTAAATGAAGTGAGAGAAAAAAAAACTTACTTTGAGCACCCAATTTGGTCTGCAATGTCTTTGATATTGACGCCTTGATCACGTAAAACCTTGATGGTGACCCGCTGTTCTTGAGTTAAAGCTACCATGATGACAATGTTGAAAATTTGAATTAACGTTCTCTTATATCCAAATAATAAAATGATATTTCATTAAGGTTATGAAAATGTGTCAAACTGGATGAATGTTTTATGGGAGCGATACTCTTTGCAATGATTTTGACCACCCTAAGAAAATACTTAATATTCTGACCCATCTTACTGTTTTACTAACTATAGAAGTTAAATTATTCTTAAAAAGGGAGATAATATGTAAATTATTATAATTTTAACCACTGAAGCATCTGTACTGATTTCCAAATAAAAATTCTTAGGAAAAACAGTGAAAAAAAGGTGTGTGAAGGAATTTTTGGAGGGCAGTGTATAATTGTGGTAACAACCTTACTTACAACATACAGGATGTTGTGAAAATAAAGATTTAGACAGCCTTAACATGGAAAATCTGTCTGAAATAATAAAATAGATTTTGAATTGATAGTAAATATAGTAGACCTATCTGTGAAAGTGACTGTTAGTGGCATATATTGGCTTAAAATATTTTGGAAATGTGATGCCAAGATTGTTAAAAATGACTGCTTCATTGTTTATGGTGATAATTTTTAAATATTTCATAAACGTTTATCATTAAATTGGCAAAAAATGGTCTTTTAGCTCTTAAATAAACATTATATTTATATGGATCATAAATGAAATGTTATAATTGACAGGTTGTCTATAATATTCAGGTGGTATATGCCACTAAGTTTACTTTATACGGGTTTAACTGTATTGTTACATATAACATTAGGTAAAAACATCCTTGAGAACAATTATAACGGGTTTAACTGTATTGTTTGCATATTACATCAGCTAAAAACTACTTGGAGAACAATAAAAACATGTACATTTTATCAATTATAGTCCAAAACAAATATGGGCAGATATATTTTATAGAATTTTACGATGTCATAAACATGTTATTACCATAAAATTTCAATTGCCATAAATATTAAAATTTTGAATATGATTCGGTGACATGGCAATTTCAGGATTTTTATTGGATTTTTCTTTTCACAGGCTGTAGACAGACATTTTCAGTGTATTTTTAATGGTTGTTTACTTTTGAAACAAAAAAGTAAATTGTTAAAACAGTAATGCTTTTTTTGCAAGCCAGAATTTTTTTCATAGACTTCCATATCTACCTCGTTTTATCCTTAACCTATTGAATTTGTGCAATTTGTATGTCCTGCTTAACACAAATGAAAAAGTTTTTCCATCTTTAGAAATGGTATAACATTTAAATAAGGGATTAAGAGCATGTTAGATGGTTATCAACTGAAAGAAATAGTGCTATTTTGTAAGATAATATTGTTTAAACTAAATATCGTTGAATGTAAAATTTTTGTCATGAAAGTAACAAAATGTAAACAAAGTAATATTTTGTCTTTCGTACAAAATACTAAATCACTGTAATTGTACTATCTGTCAAAAGGAAACATTGGCAAAAGATGGTTCAGGTTATTGGCAAATGAAATATTTTTTTATGCTCCCCGAAAAATTTCGGGGGAGCATATAGTCGTCGGGTTGTCCGTCCGTCCGTCCGTCCGTCCGTCAGTCCGTACGTACGTCCCGAATTTGTGTCCGGCCCATAACTTTGTTATTTGAAGTCGGATTTTAAAATTATTTCACAGAAATGATCACCATATTGAGTTGACGTGTCGCGCGCAACATTTGGTTCGCTACCTTGAAGGTCAAGGTCACAGCATGACCTTGCAGCAAAATCGTGTCCGGTCCATAACTTCATTATTTGAAGTTGGATTTTCAAAATATTTCACAGAAATG